AAGGTCAGAAAAGGAGAGGTGAGACTGAGACCATATGAAAGATGTTCACCGGGTTTAATAATTTTTTTAAAAATTTATAATGTCTTCTAACGTATAAGTTTGAGAACTCGTTCATTAGACTCAAAGTATGTAGTTGTTATTAATTTTTTGTAATTAAATGTGATTAAACACTTAAATAAATTTATTATTTTTAAAAAAATTTTAAATTTGACTAAAAATATCTAAAAATAATAAATTTTGATATACTAATCAATTTAGGTTCAAAAATTTGATTTCACATGAAGAAAGTTTTAACACCTCTACAACGACTATCTAGAATATAATATCAAATAATTTAAAATCATCTTAAAATGCCTTGAATAAATGGTCTTTCTATTTTTTAACTTTACATGTTTTAATTTTAGGGTAAAATCCACATATAACCCCTATGATATTCGACTTTCTCACTCACACCCTTGTAAATTTTTTTCGCCCTTATACGCTTGTGATTGACTACCATTACCAAAAAAGGGTAATGGTGTCAAATTTGATTTAAATTTTTATGAAATTCTAAAAATACCCTCAGGCTAAACCCTTCGCCTTCATTTTAATTTTAACTTTCTCTCTCAATCTACAAAAAGGATATCCTTTTCTTGTTAAAGTTAACCGGCATCCTCAAAAGAAAAGAAGTTTTGTTTTAAGATCAGCTCTTGACGAGGTCTCAGTTCTTGACCCACTACCTCCTCCAGATGAAGATACTAAAATTGAATTCATTGCTTCTTTCAATATTAAATTAATGGTATGTTTGGTAATAATTTTCAGAAACTGTTTTGAGTTTTTGTTGGATTTTGGTCTTTCTTACTCAGTTATATGTTTTTCTTATATTTAGAGGTTATCGAAGTGCTCTATTCCTTGTTTTTTGTATATGAAAAAAATTAATAAGTTTTCATTTTTTTATTCAGTAAGTCTAATTCATTGAATTGCATCAGCAACTGTAAATAGTTGTTATTTATTTCTTTCATGTTTTTTCTTTTCTTCAAAATTTGTACCAAATTAATTACATATTATCTTGTTTAAGCTTTAATCAAAAAATTTTTTTTATGAATTTTGATATTTAAATATTGAAAAAAAGTTTTTAGACTTTCACTAAAAAGAAATTTCCTTTATATGAAGAATATTCAAGATTAACTTGTTATTCATTTTAAGAGATTCTGTGTTGAATTTATTAAATATTTTATTAAAAATTAAATTTTAATTCTTTTTATTTATTTACAAAATAATGTCATCTAAAATTTTATAAAAAAATATAATGCAATAATATCACAATCAAAATATGCAAATTAATCATTAAAATATCTTAATAAAATTCATACCAAAATATTATAGTAAAAATCATAACAAAATCATGTAAGGATATTATGTAATAAATATAAAAAAATCATGCAAAAATATTATGCAAGCAAATCATTGTAATAAAACCCAATGCAATATTATGTAATAAATCATACAAATAAATTAAATTGATGTAAAATATCATGTAAATATATATTATAATCATTCATGAGAAATATCGTAATAAATTTATACAATTAAATATCATAAAAATTATGCATATAAATATCATCAAATAAATCATGCAAATAAATAAATTATAAAAATCTTATCAATTTTTTCTTTTCCTCATCACCTTTAACACAATAACAATTAAAAATAATAAATAAATAAATAAACTAGAAAATAACATGAAAAAATAAAAACAAAAAGAAATCTCTTATTTGGGTCAAGTTCAGGTTGATACACAAATCTGCTTCGGCCAAGGCTTTCAAAAAACCAAAGCACAAACTTCAAGAATTCCCTAAAATCCCAAAAACCCAACAACGGTCTAGCAACGGTTGAAAACTGGTTCAGTTAGATCGGTCAGCTGGGGAATTGATCAACGGGTCGGACTCGGATACGATGACCTCGGTTCAGTTCTAGGTCCATACGCGGATCCTCCTTTAAAGCGGCATCATTTTTGTCTTTTTTTTTCAACCATATAAATTCCCAAAGCTTTTTTATTTCATTTTAAACCCTTTTCTTACACCAAAAAAAAAACCCTCTCCTTTCAAAAAAAAACAAAAGCTCTCCTAGCCCCTGGTTTCCAGCGAAGCCTCGTCGTCATCGCCTCCACTCCGTCGTCGGCACCATTGTCTGTCAGTCTCCTTTTAAACCCAGATTCACTCTAAGCTTCCATTTTTTGCCCTATTCTCAGATTTAGCCTTCATTTTTCACAAAACAGCCTCAAAACCTCAGATCTGAGCCAAAAGCCAAAAATTTTCAACCCCTCAAAGTCACAATCCCACTATCAGATCTTTCTAGTTTTTTTTATATGTTGTTCTTCCCCTCGTGTTCTTCCTTTTCAACTATTTAGATTGCCCGGAACTCCTCGTCGCTGTCCCTTCATGGCTTTTGAGCTTCCTTTTTCTTTTGTCCTTTTTTTAAAAAAGGAAACTGACCTTTTTTTTTGTTTTGTTTTGTTTTACAGGCTTGCTCGGCGCTAGGTTCCTCACTGGATCGGTGAGGACTGTGATTTTTTGGTTTTTTTTTTTTGGTTGTTTTCCTATTCTATTTTTGGGGTTTTTTTTTCTTGGGTGTTTGTGTGGGTGGAGGCTTGGCACTGGGGGTGCTGGTGCGGGTCGGACACGAGGGTGGTTACGAGGGCCATGGGTCTTGGCTGGGGCTAGGTGTTAGGGTAGTGGCTAGTTTGTTGGGAGGTGGCTGCGTGCGTGGGTATCTAGTTTCATTGGGTAGAAGAGCTGAGAGTTGGCCTCTGGTGCCACTGGGTTGTGTGGGTTTTCTGGCTTGTTGATGGGGTGCCTAGGACTGGTGCCAGATGGTGAGGTCTTTCCCTTGAAACGGCTGGTGCTGGGGTGTTTTTGTAGAAACCGAGGAATGGGTGCTCAGGGGCAAGCGTGGGTCTTGGCAGGGAGTGGTAGGAGGTAGTTGGGGCATGTGAGTGGTGTCTTGCACGACAGCACTGTCTCTCTCTCTTTTTTATTAATTATTAATATATTTAATATTTAATTGTTAATTTAAAAAATAAAAAATAAAAACCGGTACTTAATCCGAAGGTCTAGAACAAAATTCGAGCAGACGTAAGTTGAGATCATTATTCATGCGTGATATTTATGCTCGAAGAATAAAAGGGAAAATATGAAAACTTTTACTCGACTTGGCCAGAAAAAAAAGGGTCACAATTATTTTCTATATCAATTTCAATAGATTTTGTTTAAATTTTGTACATTTATTTTAAAAATTGATATTTATTTATTAATGAATTGATATTATTTAATTTATTAATAATTAATAAAATTTATATATTAATAATATATTAAATATAAACTCATTTTATTAGGAAGTCAGACACATTGAATCAGGCCATTAAAAAAAAAGTGGCTTAGCTCCTTGATTTTGGGAACTTTGAAACATGTAGTTTAGTAAATTTAAATTTTTTTTGTAAGGATTTATATTTAACATATTAATAGTATATAAATTTTATATATTATTGGATGAGATGAGGTGAAATGGATGATAGAATAGATTTTATACATTATATTTTTTTTATTAATGAGATGAATCAGATGATAATATTTTATTAATAAATAATTTATTTTAAAAAATTAAATTTTTATATATTTATTTTAAAAATTGATATTTTTTTATTAATAAGATAGTATCATTTAATTTATTGATAATATATAAAATTTATATAATGATAATGCATTAAATATAAACTTTTTGGGTAACACAATATCTTGGTTTCAAAAATCAAACAATTGTTTCCTACCAATTTTTTTAATTAATCCCCAAAAACAAAAATCATTCGAATATTTATATATATATATATATTTTCTTTCTTAATCATAAAGAATTTTTTAGCTTTGTTCAATAAATTTTATTTGAATCAATACAAACAGATTTATTTACATTAAATTTAGTGAATTTATAATAAATTACTTTCGTATAAACTCTCAAA